CCCAAAGAAGATGTTTAAAACCAAGGTATTTCTATGGGACCGAAATAGAATTCTGTGGTCTAGCCTGAAAAGAAACATAACCTAATGAGGGGGAACCTCTCAAGGAACCTCTCAACGGTCTACAGTTCCGGGCTTCTCTGCACTTTTTCAGGAAACTTACTGTTATATTTTTGACCAACAGAGAAAAGTGGCTTCAAGATACAATATGTACTTACCCAGCATGCAGACATAAATTAAGAACTCCACACACCATTTTCTCCTAACTCTATTTACAAGGTCTATGCAAAGCTCTCTAGGTCTGCTAGCCATTTCTTTCCATTCCACTGTGAAAGAACCCATGATGACAGAATAAAAGAACGGGAAACCAGGAATGGTAGTTAACATTCAGCTTATTTTTTTAAACTAGAAATGTTTCTGTTTCTGTTCATCTCTTCCTCAAACTGTAAAACAATGTGTCACAGGAGAGGCACCCAGAAAACAACAAACTAAAATGGAAATTTTGCAGTAGGCCCAAGAAATGCAGATCTGCAGCAAATTAACTTACAGAATTAAATTATGCAACCTATTACTGCTTATAGCTGGCATATAGCTTGCAAAAATACCTAAACATAAATACATGGAAATGGATCCCAAAATACTTAAATGTCTGACTTTGGGCAGAGTGTTTCCTTTCTAATTATTTCATCAATAAAAATGGATCTTAGATTACTCATACTTCACTTCCTCCGCTGAGGACTACAATCATCCAAAGGTTTTCCCTTTTCTGGTTGTTGTTTGTAAGAACTTTGCTGGAACTCCCAAAACTAGCTGTCTGTCTTCTAGAGTCAAATTCCCACATGGGCAAAGACACCGAACTCTCTGGACGATCTTTTGCTTACTTTGGTTATGTATTAAATTGTTTAGCTTTCCTTCTTCTCCACATGTATCCTGCTTGCTCACCACAACTTGTACAAATGCTAAAGAAAACATTTACATATTCTGGTAGCAGTGCATTGAAATGAGTTGGAAGTCTGGTCCATTTCACAAGCCACACTGGAATAAACCAAAATAGACAGATCATAGTGACATTAAATAAAGTCTCTTTTCTAAGGAATAAATCAGGTTGATTACTTTTAAATATAGCTGAGTTAAAAGCAAACAAGATGGACAAAGGCATACTGCTTATGGCATTGGTTCGCTTGCTATATTAGCCTCTTGGCCAACAGAAATCAATGTTATAAAATTTCCTAGACGAATATCCAGGAGAAATTTGTTTTTTAAAAAGCACGCTGGAATTTATCACCAATTTAAATGTAAAACTCCTTGCAACTTAATTCGATTTATAGAACTCATAGTCCAATTTTCTTCTCTAAATAGATGGGCTAAAAGAACAGATAAAGAAATAATGAGGAAAGAAGGGAACCCTCCCATTTAAACATAAACTTTGAAAAACATTATTTCCTAATTATATTTTATTTTAATTATATTTAAATATACTACTGACATACACAGTTTGTGAAAGCGTTTGCCAGTATATCCAACTACCACAACAGATTGCCTGGCACATCTTTGAAAAATGCCTCTGCTTTTCTTTAAAAAGCAATAGCATGGAATTTGCTAGTAGGAATTAAAAAAAATAGATATTACATTGTCAAATTTAGGAAACTATACTGCACTTTATCTCTAAAGTAAAAAACAAATTTTAAATGCTTTTCGGAGTAGATAATGATGGTAAAGAATCAAGCCAAAGATATCAAATTTCTACTCAGTGAATCCAAACTGTACCCAATTAAGAATCCAAACTCAAGGGGAAAAATAAGAATTAGATAATAAAATATTGTGCCCTTAGGAAAAATGATTTGCTGTCTGTGTTAGGAGAAAAGGGAACTTAAATCCCTTGTTAGATTAAAAAAATGCAAAATCTACCTTAGGAAACTCATTCAAAACTACAGAATATAATGCAATAGCACAATAAGTTAAAAAAAAAAAGATTTAGCTAAGAAATATTGATTCCCATCTAACCAGTCTCAACTCACATATTCAAAAACAAAAGAAAACAAAACAAACAAAGCAAAATTTTGAAAGCTTTCCTAAAGTGCAGGTGTGAAAATGTCTCCAGCTGGGGCTGCACCAGAATTTATAGTATTTCAGAACAACTGCTCTGACTCTGCCAGGCCCATTTGCTCAGGTTTGGTTAGTAAACAATTCTTCCTTCGAAAACCCATACAAACAAAACAATGAACCTCGTGCTCACTAAATTATGAAATTAACCTGTCCGAATGAAACTTTAAATTAGAGGATATCCAGACGTTATTTGTTAATAATCCATATGGAGAATACTTCAAATATATGGAAAATATCAACGAAAACTGGCTCAAGAATATATTTGTAATGGCAACTGTGCTAGAAAAACTATTATAATGAAATGTACTTTACTTTCCATGAGGCACGGTTGCAGTGAAGAAATATGACCCAGGAAAGCTTTTAGTAAACATTTTCTGTTAAGAAGTAGAGGTAATCACAGATTACTTTATGTAATGGCTTTGACCTATTATCACTGATAGGTCATAAACATACCTATGATCCATTGAGGCCTGTTTAAGATAGGAGTTTCTCTAACATCAAACTATTTGAGTAGTACCAAGAGAGGCACTGGAAAACCTCTAAAAACAACCTTTCCTCTCCCTCCTCACATATTTCCTGTAGTTTAAACTTATTTGTGATGACACTATAATGTGCTGTATATTACAAATACACTGGTATTAATATGCATTCTATGATATAATAATAATCTTATATTTTTTTCTCCCAACTTCCTTTCCAAAAATAATAAACAACTAGTAGGACCGGTGAAAACTGTATTAAACACATCAATCAGTGTTGATGAGAAAAGTATAATCAAAGGTAGTTATGCCCATCCTGGCATCTTTGTAAGATTCTTAGAACCACCTGAGATGGAAACAGATCTCCTCTACCCCGGAGAATCAGAACAGCCTTGTTTCAAAGCAAGGTGGATACTTCTTTTGCCTTGAGTCTTCTGTGTCCAGCTGCATAGCTGCCTTGAATTTGGACATTTTCCCAAATTTGTAGTATTTATTTAAAATCTGAATTATATATTCAGATATATAAAGACAATGGGTCTAAATTTTTATGTCAGGCATGAAACACACCTATGAAAAAGTTTGTTCATATATATGTATACGAGTGTGTTCATACATCCCAATCATCTAAAATTATGCGGGATATAATTTGATGTTATATATTTTTCCGGATGACATTTATTCTTTCTTTTAGTCTAAAACATATCTGGGAGAAATCTGAGTTGACCTGTAATATGTAATAGTTAAACCCAATCTAATCTAAGAAGATACAGATCAGTGAATTAAATAATTATCAAAAACATTAAGTAACAATTCAGTGGCAAAGTGTAGTTATCCCCCAAAACCTCAGAAACAGCATTCACGCAGTTATAATAGAAAGTGAACATTGCTATAAGAAGAGAATTAAGAAAGCACTGGAGATGGGGTGTATGAAGTTAAAATTTTGCCAATACAAAGTGTATCAATTGGTTTTGATTTCCTCTTATTCTTTAGGTTCTCTACCAAATCTTCAATCAAGAAAAGAAAAACCAGCAGAGCTTGTAGTCCCTCAAAATAAAGATATGCAGTATGTAAACTTGGCCCCAGCAGTTTTTCAAACAATGTTAGGTCCAGGTCTTTTCAGAGGCAAAAGCAGAATTATAAATAATTTAAACCCAAAGGCTGGTTTCCCTCTAACTCATTTGTCAGTTCAATTAGAAAATGATGAATACAAAAACAGAAGAGACAGATTACACTGAAGACACAGCATCCTTTTTTTTTTTTTTTTTTTTTTTGCAGGAATGAAAGCTCTCATCTGTGTTCTTCAGGCAACTGAGCTAACATAATTACCCCAAGAAAAACAGTCAGCAACCTCAAGGACAGGCTCCATCTGACTAACCAAATTCAAGACGCTATCACTAAATCTCGTTTTACTCATCACGTGTTGTTAGGTATCTCCAAATTCAATTTATTACTCTTTTTTTTTTTTTTTTGCAGCATTCCTGGAGAGCTAATTATGGGAAATAATCCCTTTTCTTATTAGGCCAACTGTTTTCTGGGAAGAAACATTTGGTAAGCGTGGTGAACTACCAACAGCTATTCTAAGTTCTGTTTCATCATACTTTATTCTTCAACAGCCAAGTATTTCAATTCTACTTCCAAACACTAACATGTGAGACAACCAAGGAGCCTGTCTCAATTTCCTGGTAGTTCATGTTAACCCTGAGTCAAAGCAAAGAAGAATGTCATAAGATTGTTTTGAAAGAGTTCTTCAGGCTTTGCCTTAGTAATTAATAAGCTGACACTGCATACTAAATACTTATCACCACAATCAGTGGGGCTGCTTCCTTCTTGAGAAAAGAGGTAGGACTGAAAGAGTTTTCTTTTGGAATAGACTGTAATGTGCCACAGATAGAGTGGTTCTTCCAGAGAATTTCATTCCCAGCAGTTTCATCTTGTTAACATTTAACAATTTCACTATTTTAACATTTTGAAATGCCAAAAAGAACACACTGATCCTGCAGCTAGGCTTATTAGAGAGGCACAATCTCACAGGCGACAGGGAGGCACAGAGTCCACTGGGAAAAGGGTAACAGAAAAAGACAGAAAACAGTGGATAACAAACAAAGCTGAGCACTACTCCAACATGAAATCAGATTTGCACCAAAATGTAAAACTTTACATGCCACACTAAATAATATCATCTGGTTTTTTAAGGGACCAGGAATAACATTCTTTTCATAGGCATCTGTATCGAAGCTATCTATTGAAATTGGGGGAGCGTGAATATCTAATTTGCCTTCCTAACAATGAGTGTGCAAGCATAGTAATTTTATTTTTGAAAGGTCAGAACTGAGCATTTCCCCCCTGGGGCCTCACGTTACCCCCACAGAGACTTAGGAACACAATGAGACCTTTCCCCATCAGACACTTGATACGTACCTCAGCCAGGATTGCTCCTTGCCTGGAGTGGGAGACATCTTTGGAACAAAAAGAATCTGTTCACAGTAAGTTCTGTTGGTAACCTAAAATGGATTAGTTTTTAAAAACCACGTCCATCCTCTTGCCTCTTGCCCAACTACAGCAACTGCTATCGTGCCTACAAGTAACCGCTTGCAGTATGCAACATTTAAAAATCTGGAGGCTCGTGGATTCTGTTCATGTATGGATATAATCAGAAAATTATTTGTCTCACTTAAGAAACTATGCGTGGCCTTTTATTTTGATAAAATTGCTTTTAACTGAGTTAGAGATGGTGGGAGGGAGAAGGAGTACCAGGGGGAGAAAAGGGACAGAGAAAAATCAATCAGTATATCTTCCCCTGCAAACTGTCAGTAGGGTGGGATTAGAAAAGCAACACTTTAAATCAGACAAAGTCCTATGGGAACCTTAAAGGTTAGTTGCTCTGAGCTTCTCAATATTCTGCAAAATAGATTGATGGCAGTGGTCACCCCACCGATACTCAATGTTTACTGAGTTTACGCTAAGAAATTGCATTTCCCCCATTGTTGAAATGATATTAACTTGGTAATAAAAAATGAGGAGAAGTTACGGGACCCACAGAGATATCGTTCAACACCTTTAAAACCAGTAAATCTGTTCTGATCTCTTATTAAATATCCAAGGATGCTTAATGTATCAAGAAGCAACAACAAAGACAAGAATGTCACTTAATTTGAAGGGAAATAAAGAAGATGGGAGGCAAAATGATGAACAGATTACCATTTTTTCTCATTTGTTCAATTTAAAACTAAAATTAGAAGCATGCATGTTGCTTTCAAACTTTCAAATGACCAAATGACAGTTTCTCCTGTCTGTCACTGCCAATATTTCCACTGGAGAGGCGATCCATTTATGATTGTGAGCCTTACCGAGAAATGTCTTTCAAAAACACAGCAACTTTTTTCATCTAATGGCTTGTTCTGGGTTAAATGGTTCCATCAACATTTAAATTTAGCTGTTAAACGTACGTTTACTTTTCCTTAAAAAGAGTGGCTCCTGCAGCTATTTTTCTACACCAAAAGTTTATTATCGGACACACATTTCTTTATATGACATTTAATATTTTAGGCAGTTTCTAGGTTTGGTGCAGAGATCGATGTATTTGGGAACACTTAGTTGCTGATACGGTTTATAGACATTCAGCACCAACTCAAGCGTCTCTTTTTTCAAACATGCACAATTACACGTTTCCTACAAACACACATCAGTGTACACAGAGGTGCACACACATTCAATAAGTAGTAAATGGTAGAAAGCTCCAGAAGTAGCCCAGACCACAGTTTACAAGCTGGGGCTGTACAGCTAAGTAAACATCGACGCACGATTCGCTCACACGGAATAAGAACTCCACGAAGGACACTTGGGGACTACACTGGTCAGTACCCGAGGGGGCGGGAGGCGGAAAAGTATTTCCAAACGCAACCCTGCCAGGTCTTACCCTTCGCATCCCCCGGTCCTCCGGGAGAAGCTCCCTCGGCACCTCTCGCCCAGCGCAGGGGCTGCTGCTCTGCTAGAACGAAACGTTCCTCCCGACTCTACGGAGCTCTGCGGGAGCCGAGGCGCCCCGCCCGGGCCAGGGGAAGGCACTGGCGCCGCCGGAGCCAAGAGGAGGCGGAGGCGGAAAAGAAGTGCAGAAGGAAGGGGTGGCCGAGGGAGTAGCCGGAGGGAGGCGGCGCCGGCGCGGGGATGCGGGCGAGGCGGGGTGGGGTGGGGTGGAGCGGGGTGTGCCTCCGTCGGTCGGTCAGTAAGTCAGTCGGTCCACGCTGCCCGCGCGCCGGCGTCCCCTGCCTCCAGCGCCCGCCCGCCCGCGACAGCGACAGCGACTGGCGACCCCTCCTCTCCCGCCGCCCGCGAGCCTCGCCCCTTCCCCGGGCTCTTCAGTGGGTCCTCCCGCTCGCCCAGCCTGGCTCGGCGTGGGGCCGCAGGTCTCCGCCAGCACTGACGCCCGTCGCCTCGCCACGCTCGTGCGGTCCCTGCCTCTTCCTCCGCTGGCGCTCTGTCTCTGGCTCCCTCTCGCTCCAGTCCCATTTATGAAGCGCGGTCCCATCACGTGTTAATGAGCCTTTGTCCTGCCCTGGCAGCGGCGGCGGCACAGACCCCACCGAGGGAACTGCGCGGGGAGGGACCCGCGCAGCGCGGCACCCGTGGCTCCAAACTTTGCCGGCGCGGGGCACCTGCCGTGGCGCCAGCCCTGGGGCCGGAGGGGACAAGCCTCTCCGGCCCGCGTCACCTACTTCTCTTCCTCCTCCTCCTCCTCCTCCTCCTGCGCCGCCGCCGCCGCGGTCCCGGGGGCTCCCACTGCCAGGACCTGGCTCTCCTCCCGGATACCCTCACACCCTGGCCGAGCCAAGAAGGTGCTCGTGCCTGCACCACCCCCGACCTCGGGGCCATTAATCACGCGCGCCCCGGCTGCGCGCAGCGCCAACACCTTGCGCGGGGGTCACGTCTGGGGCAGCCGGAAGGGAGAGGGGAGCAGGAGGCGAGAGGCCGAGGAGCCCCGGGCCGGGGGTGCGGCTACAGGCCGTTCAGTTCGCCCCAAGTCGCCCCCGCGGTGGGCAATAGTGAGCCAGGCCCGGGGGCGGGCGAAGCATTGGGACCGCGCTGCGCAGCCCCCGAGCTGTTTGCTACCTGGCGGTGGCCACGCAACCACCTGTCCTCCGCCCTCGGGGCACCGGCTGGCTTCGCGCTGGTAGCCTTCTCCAGCCCCCGCCGCCCCCGTCGCCCCCGCCCGGCGCGGACCTCTGGGACGCGCCCCACCCGTACGCCCGGGCTACAAACAGTTGGGATCCATAGGCGGCTGGTTCTGCGCCTCCCTGTCCGGCGCTCCCCCTCCCCAGCCGCTGGGGGTCCCGGCTCCCCGTCCCTCCCGCACGAGGAGGACGCCCCCCTGCAGGGCCGGGCCGGAGGCGCACGGGGGCTCCGGGACAGCCGCCGCTGGCGCCTGGGGAACCGCGGTGCGCCCGGTGGCCGCGACAGGAATTAGGGTACATGCTCGTTAATTGGTTCCACTATCAGCCGCCGTCTGCCTCCCGTGTGCACGGATCAAACCTTAATTGGTCTTTACATTTATCATGGTGAATTGCGAACCTACAAACAAGCCCGAGTCGCTGGTTCAGCAGAAAAGGCGCTCCCCCTCCCTCTGGGGCCCAGGCAGAGTTGTGGCGGCGGCGCTGGTGGTTGATTAGACATCTTTATCTCTCGTGAGTTGGGTCGAGGGAGAACTGCACGGTTTCCACCTGATGGAGGGAGCCACGTCACTCTGGGCCCCAAGAACCCCGCCGAAGGCACTTGGTTCGCTTCCCAGTCCTCCTCTCCGTGGTTGCCACAGCGTTCATTTTATGACACCTCGCCAGTGATCTAGCAAATTCCGCCCCAGTCCTCATTCCGGACGCCCTCGGGTAATGACCTCCACATTCCTCTCGCCCCAGGCCAGAGCCCAGCAGCATTTATAACATCTGGACCCATATTTGGCCTACTGGAGAGAATCCGAAAAAGCCAGCCTCTGAAGGAAGAGGGGAAATTGTTGGGGAGGAAGCTGGAGGGTGGCGAGTCCAGAACCCTGGAAGCAGTGAGTGCCTTTTGGCTTCAGGCCAGTCATAGGTTTCCTGCAGAGTGCTAGTTCAGTCTTCGAAAATCTCCCCCCATTGCTTTAGGTTAAAAGAAGTGTTTCCCATTTTCCCCATCAGAGAAATAGCCATTTAAGAACCCACAACTGAAATAATCGTTTTCTACTAGGTAGGTAGATGGAATAGGTTATAAACGAAGATCTGACTGACCCATCAATAGATGAAGGAATAACTGACAGGTGGGTAGATGTGGGATGAGTGCTGGGCATTAAACCCAGTGCCTGGTACCTGCTCTACGCACAGCAGAGGAAGGCATCTTCAGGCCTACCTCCACGGGGGACACAGTGTCATCTAATGATGTAAAAGGCTGGTAGGGAGGCTTCAGCATCTGTTGTTTCGGTTTTCTTTTAGGGGTCATGGATGTTAGATTTCTACCTTTACGTACACCCTTTGCAGGAGGACATAGGCACAGTTTTGCCCTCCTTGTGACCCCCCGGACTCTAATTTCCTAACTAAGTTGGTGACTTGACGCCAACTTCAAAGTGTTGCCACTTCTCATGTAGCCCAGGTTCTAGTGATTGCTTCAAAAGAAAGGATCTAGGCAGGTCTTCTTGCTGGGATGAGCACCTCTTTCGGGTGACAGGAAAACTGGAGAGCTCATGGAAGGCTTTCCAGCAACAGGATTTCACATGGGCGTAACCATTCTTCCCTGTGGGCTGGTCGTCTGTTCTCTTGGGGTGGCCCATGGGTTTAGGATCCCTCGTGTCCACAATTCTGACACACCCCACGGGTAACCCTGATAGGACATTCCCCCACTCATCAACCTACACGTTGGTGTTCAATATCAGATCTAAAGGTGAACACAGTTTGCAACCTACAAAAGGTACTCCATGGAAACATCGTATCTCAACCCATTCACACCAACTTCTGCTTTTTCACAAAGAGGAGCAATCTAATTACCTTAAGGGTCTCTGAGTCATCCTGAATCTCTTTGGGTTGATGGTAGATTTTAAAATTTTTTTTTCATTGAATTCTACGAAATTCCAAGCAGAAACCTGGGATCCAAGTAGCTTGAAGTCTATTTGTTGAGTGACGGGCTGAAGTGACCTGTGGACAGAGTCAATCATTAAGAGTCTAATCAAATAGTGACTCCAGCAGCTATAACTATTTCGCCTGTGATTCTGTTGTTGTTCAGGCTGGGCGAAGGCTGGAGCCTGACAGCTGGTGAATTGTACTGACTTTCCATTTAGAGCTCAAGGATAATGCTCAGTAATGGAGTCAAAATTTGACTTGTGACCTGGCATTTATCACCACATGTGAAAGCTTTGTTGAAACTGAGAGAGTTATTTTGTTGTTTGAAAAATGCAGTTCTTGTGGGCATGCTTGAACATGTTTAAAATTTAAAGTCTGTCCTGGACCCATCAGGATGTTAGATGTCCCCCCTCCCCACCCACCCCACTCCCCAGTCAAAAGGCTGAGATACTTTTCCTTCAGAGCTGGAAGAAGAGCAGACAGCAAAGGGCGTGAAAGCAAGATGCTTTTTAGTGCCTCAGAGTTCACCCAGTGCAAGGATCACCTCTAAATGGGTGGAAACGACTTAGTCTCCCTACGTGGTTGGCCAGCCACTATAGTCCTGAGAAAGTCAGCAAGAGTGACAAATGCAAGCTGTCAGCATCCCTATTAGGAACTTTATGTGGAGGGCACACATACATTCAACACAGGACATTGGATGGTTCTTGGTCACCACCACCCAGGTTGAATTTGAACCCATGACTGTCTGGGAACCGAGTATGGCAGTCCTTTATCAGGCTTCGCTGGTCCCTGCACTGCTACATGGGAGGCTGTCTCGTTTTCTAGTTCTTTATCCTTTTAAAATTAGAACAGGGCTATGATGAGCCAATTTACTGCCGTTCTGTGTAATTTAGGTTATTCACTCAGTGAAATGTAGAGGATGAGAGCACAGTTAAGGCTGCGTATTTCAACTTCAAAGAAAGATCTCAATTTATTTCTGCCAAAATGTTAATAATTTTACTGGACACAGATCATTAGAGAAGCATGTCTTGCTTCCCTGAGATAGCTGTGGATCCTCAGGGAGCTGTGCTTCGAGGTTTCTTCTTTTCTTACCTATGGTTGGCCTTGCCCCTCTCTCCCACTCCCCACAGGAGTAGTCTTCTGGAACTGATGCGTAATGATTCCCTGGTTTGGGAACTGATGAGCAAAAACCATCACTCCCTCTCAGAGTTTTGAAAGCTCTATCCAAGTTTGACCCTCGTGTTCTCTTTGGTATTTTCAGTGTGACGCTCACACCGCAGGACTGGAATGCTCGCTGATTAAAGACATTTTGGGGAATGATATTATGACGGCACGATTTCATTCTAATTCGGAGCATTGCTGTAGAGTTTCGACAGCTATTATTGGCTCTCCTTTGAAGCATTAAAGCATTTTGTTTTTCTGTGCTGGATGGGAATTTGCTTCCTCACTCCCAGTCTAAAGGGTAAGTGTCAGCAAGCCTCAGACAGACACGGCCGGGGCTCTGTCATCCCAGGCTTGAGATGGGAAATGTTTGCTCACAACATGCTCTGCCAGTGATGCAGGTAACCCAAAGAACGTCCTGCACCACTTTTGCGTGTTTCACAAGAGCTACAAGCGGGAGATGGAAAATGACAATCTTTGTAACTCCACTATCAAAAGAAAGAAAGAAAGAAAGAAAGAAAGAAAGAAAGAAAGAAAGAAAGAAAGAAAAAAGAAATCTGGTCTAGGTGGAGAAGGGGGTTGCCAGGGTAAGGAATGAATAGGTGAGGAAGGAGGATGGGCTTCCTCGACCTTGGGGGACAGGGCGTTAAATCAGGCACAAAGAAATCACTGCTGCTTCTCCGTGATCTTCCCATATAACTAAACACATGCTCATTAGGGCGGTTTTTTTCACCTTCTCACCTTCTTTCATTAAACCCCACTCTTTAACAGCCCAGCTGAGCAGCAGCAAAGAAGGCTGAGAAATGACAGGAAGGCATTTTCCCTTTGTTCATATGTTTTGTTTTGTTTTTCATCACTAAGCAGAGGATCGGTAATGAGGAGACAGATCTTCCTTTCACATCAAACCATATGAGGAGTATGTGCTAACCGATAATAAACAAACACATAGTACAAATAGAGAGAGTGAGGAAACAGGTTAATAAAGCTTTTGTTCCTCCCTTGATTAAACTCTTGCAAAATAACTATCAAAACTTCATAATTAAAAAGGCTACAAACATTCCATGTCTAAATATTTCACTTCTTTGAAAAATCGGGCAAGTAGCAGTATGAGAATGTCAAAATATGGCAAATAATGAAAAAAAAAAAAACAGTACTAAAAGACAGGTACTTCTTAAATAGTCACTTGGCCTGCCTTCTGAGTGAATTCTCTTCCCGGCATCTTTCTTGGTTTTCTCAACTTCAGGTGGGAGCTTAAAAAGGAAAATATCTACCCATCTCTGGTTCTAAGGATTCAAAGCCATCATAAATGTAAAACTTCCAGCCTGGTGCCTGGAACTTCCACCCTCTGTAATTGAGAGTTGTTTTTCTTTCTC